CATTCTTGAAAGTATTTGCAATCGTATTTTCGAAAGAAGTCTGCTACCTAAGAATAATCCCGTTAGCTAGTAGTTGGCGTGCATTCAAGACTATCATCATGTGTCGTAGGTAAAACATTCTTCAGATTGAGGAGAACATCTCGTATCTCAAATGAACCAAGTCTGTGACGTCATAATCGTCTGGTCTGGATAGATCATCATGACGCAAGGGGGAAGGGAAGGAGGCTTGTCATCCCGGCCAAAACTCAAGCCAGCGTGCCTTAAAGGTACTATATGTCCCATTTGCAGGCCAAACAAAATGAAAAGATTAAATTCCAACGGCATTTGAAAGATAATACTAATTTAGAACTTCCCTACAAACAAAAAGGGTGGGGGGCTTGAAAATGTCTTTAAGTGGGAAAATAACGACTATTAGTTGTCAAATCGACTTAAGTGCTACCAAGTCAGTAAGTAATATTCTGATTTTCAGACCATTATACCGGATGGTCGTACGTTTTGTGCTGCGCAAAGATTCAATCACTTCAATTTGGGCCATTACAAGAAGTGGGTTATTGATGTAGACAAATGATCATGTACCCTTTACAGCTCATTTTATGTATGTTATTACCAAAGAAGAAAAGGCCAGTCAGTCACTTGATAGTGTCTGACAGTGAAGTCTAGCAAGTAAATGGGTTTCCTTGCATAATTTGAATATTAGGACACTGCTAACGTTTAAATTTCACAGAAAGGACACGCAGCCATTTTCTTGAAAATGTGACGTACCAGTTAAAGTTGTACATGTATCATGCACCAAGCTTAGATGGAAAGACTTTTTAATCAATAACAAAGCCTTTACTTTTCAATGTGGAAAATAATAGCTGAGAAGACAGGGGAACAATTGTAACTAATTCATTTTAAAATACTAAAATATAGCAGTCGACAAATCTATTTCATTTATGAGAAACCTTCACCCCAGAAGAGCACCGATTTATTTGTGTAATTTGCGTTCTGCCAATTGTAGTACAAAGGATAATAACCCACGTCACGTCACGTGACCCTCCTCGCTTCCGCGCTAACTCACGCAGTTTTTAGGATTATACGACATTTATTTAGAAACGATAATGTTAGTATTCCCTTCTTTTATAGCGCAGAGCATATTATGATATAACGTCCTATTGCGTTTTCGCAAACCTTTGGAAATTAGCACCCCGACTTTAGATCAGCGCATTTCAAGGAATAATACTACTAGGCACCCTTTTACCTCTCCTAAGGCGAGTGAGGCAAATGCAGATTAATTTCTTACATGGATAAAATCCGGTGATTTAACCACTTCGCCCCAACACCTCTACACACCAGTGACCGTCCTTTAAGGTGCCTCCCCACAACACCTGTAAACACCATCAGTGACCGTCCTTTAAGGTGCCTCCCCACAACACCTCTACACACCATCAGTGACCGTCCTTTAAGGTGCCTCCCCACAACACCTCTACACACCGTCAGTGACCGTCCTTTAAGGTGCGTCCTTTCTCACAACACCTGTAAACACCATCAGTGACCGTCCTTTAAGGTGCCTCGTTTCTCACAACACCTCTACACACCGTTAGTGACCGTCCTTTAAGGTGCCTCGTTTCTCACAACACCTCTACACACCGTTAGTGACCGTCCTTTAAGGTGCCTCCTTTCTCAAAACACATGTACATACACACTGTCAGTGACCGTCCTTTAAGGTGCCTCCTTTCTCACAACACCTCTAAACACCATCAGTGACCGTCCTTTAAAGCTTATCTGCCGTAGTTTACAGGAGGGATTACACCGCCCTGCAAGGTCACTGGACAGGTGGTTATCTCATCAACTCAGCTCTCATTTAACATAAGAAAAAGAGGATCATGGGAGACCAACAGGCACCGAAAGGGGAAGTTTTCTATATAGAGGGAGCAAGTAGCTACAAGTAGGACAGTGTGCCTTTAAGGTGCCTCGTTTCTCACAACACCTCTACACACCGTTATTGACCGTCCTTTAAGGTGCCTCCTTTCTCAAAACACATGTACATACACACTGTCAGTGACCGTCCTTTAAGGTGCCTCCTTTCTCACAACACCACTAAACACCATCAGTGACCGTCGTTTAAGGTGCCTCCTTTCTCATAAAGTCTCGTTGTACTCCGATACACCCTACTTTAAAATAACCATTAACTTTGAAATTAATTTCTATATTCATGCACAATTTATTATCATGTAACGCAAGAAAGTATCTTCCAAAATTTGTCTCATTATTATCATATTTGTGCATAGTTTTGAACTTTTAATGTCATTCATGTCGGTCTTATAATTTGTCCGATATTCATCAACCGTTGTGGATTATTTTTTTCAAATTTGTTTGTGCTTGTATTGAAAGAAAGTTTTTCTTTGACCTGACCAGACTTTGCCTTGGAAAGTAGGTGTTACCTTTGAGATATCTTGTCTGGTCTAGACAGTGCACGCGTACTTTCTACTTCGAAACAACGTTCTTATCCGACTGCCAACATTTTTGTTATCATTGCCACAGCCCCCTAGAACATTTTACAACAAATTATTTCATATTAGGGAACCTGGCGAGGGCATTCAAAACGACATTTGCGTGTTGGCTTCAAGGCCAGAAATATAATATGTTGCGATGAAAAACTCCAACCCCCTGACTGACCCCAAAATATTGTATTTCGGGGTGTGTCGTGCTACGTACACGGAGGAGCCCAGTGATGACATACTGTGCACTGGCTCTCCCGGACTGATAGCTACGTTTCCTCAAGATTGTGTCGTGTCCTGATCACGTGGGTTTGCCTCGCTCATCTTTCTAGAAGTCAATTCACTGTCATTCCTGGCGTACCGTCTGCCTCTCCCCACCCAGGTGTAGTAAATGATAACTGAATGCTTTCGGTGTCTTAGAGTAGTTGAAGGCAGAGTAAGAGAAGAACATTGTAGGAGTCTTAAGCTTTTCCTAAGTTAATTTTGTACGTACTACCTTCCCTTTGTTTCAATGCCCCCTGGACAGAGGAAGGGTCGGACGCAGTTGCCAACATGACAAAAATAAAATAGAGGAAGATAAATATAATAAAAAAAGAGAGACAGAGAGAGAGAGAGAGAGAGAAAAGGGGAAAGAAAGAAGGAAAAAGAAAATTAGCAAATTAGCATCAATATAGGTTGAGGAATATCGAATCGCGAGACAGCTTACTATTTGCCTTTAGTCTATCTTCATTCTACTGTTTTTCGATTGCTGTCTTTTAATCAGTAAAATATCGATTTGACCCTTAATGTTGATGCATAATTCTTTATCAAGTATGTTCAAATTTTCAAATTGAATTACAGTGTTTTTGACAGTGAAAAAAGGGCGGGGGGCGAGACAACACATTGGTATTTCCACCCTGTTTCTGAAAGGGAAACCCCCATCTATTAGTGCCCACGGAGATCACAATGCACTGACGATTCCTCCTATGTAGGTCGAAGAAACTCCAGAAGAAGGGGTCTCGTCTCTCCCAATGTTAGGCTTGCCGGGAGGTGAAGGCAAGCCCTCCAGTTGAAAAATCCATCGACTTTGAATAACATCTATATTAATAAGTTCAAAACACACTCTTCAAGACCACGCACGCATGTGGCTTTTTTGTCAGTTCTTCTCATTCTTTCGCCTTACTTCTCTCGGGGCTGCAGTTCATGTACTTTCAGGCAACGGTCATAGTATATCATTTAATCAACCATGGATCAGAAACGCTGCGAGATTATCAAAGTAAGACTCAGTTGTGCCAGTTATATGGAAAGTTTCATTTTATTGCGTCATTTCTTAAGCGTATAAATCTTATAAAATTATATAGTGCATGCGTCAGTAATTGAATGAATGAATGAATGGTGGTGGTGGTTATTTCACCTGACTGCTAAGAAAGCTTAAATGCTTGTAAGTTAGTAACCAGAAGGCCGACGGCTTTAGGTCCTCTCCGAGGGACCTGGTAATGAGGATTAATGCCTTACCAAAGGGCACTAGCGCATCGCCTTGGTTTCGAACCCGGGTCACCGGATTACAAGACCACTGCTTTACCGACTGAGCTATCTCGCCTCCTACTATTTCAAAGCAAGATTTTCCAATTTCCACTTTTCTTGTTCAATTCATTTTGTGTATGATGTCACATGACGCATCAAGAGACCCATGTTACGTCGCTGACGCAGTCATATATCAGACAGATAACATCTCGTGTGCAGCGAGCCTAAGACTATTACATTCACTGTACAGTAGACGAGTCGCCATTTTGATAGCGTCCTTATCTACGATAATCAAGCCTATGAAGGAAATTAGTGCATGCGCCATCAACGCGTCAGCAATTCACCGCAACGTTTACACTTTAGATTTTGCATTCATCTTCTGTGCGATGTCGCTCTCACAGGGTGAGCAGAGGACCATACCACTCGCTGACGCAGTCAAGCATTTGCACTTAACGCCTTATATGCATCAAAGCAGCTTTCTTCTTAGAAAGGAAGTTATGTTGTGATCGAGATGATGAAAACTTTCGAAGTGATGTTGCAAAGCAAGTCGGCAAGATGAACCATTCTTGCATTGTGACATTTTCCACCTCCATGTTCATATTTTCTCTTTGATACATTTTGGAAAGCTCTCAAATATTTCTTTTCTAGGAACAGTAGTTTATGTGCTATTTTCGGGACAATGTCTTGTATAATTTGTTGCGAAGGGGTCGGTATCTTTTTTAGAGAAATAAAACGATCCCAAAATATCAACGGAAAGTTATTCCTACTCCATTTGGAGTTTGATGCCCATTCGCCTAGAGCGAGGATAATGATTTCAAAAAGTAATTTGGAAGTACATGGGAACACTATCCATGCTTCATATTTGCTATACGAGAACGGAGCATTATACCGGTTATTATTGTTGTTGATGGTATCATTATTATTACTGTTATCATCATCAAAATTATTATAATCATCATCATTGTAATTTTAATTTTTACAATCATTACATCATTTTTGTTGTTTGTGTGTTACCAGGGTCGTTTGTCGTTTTGGCTGGTTGTATCAACATTAACAGTCTGTATAGGATCATCGATGGAATTCGGATACAACATCGGAGTCATCACTGGACCTTCGCCGGTAAGAAGCTCCATGCTTATTATCACGTTATGAATGTTTGATTTGATCCAGATTCCATTAGTCTATTTACCAATTTCAAATAGTCTTTAATACTAAGGTGTATTGCATAACATGAGTACATTTCTAATAAAAATGATATGTTTCTTTAATGTAAATGAGTGATATTTTTTTTTAAATAATTGTTTTTGGTATTTGATACAGATGCTATGACCTTCGGGAGATTTGTTTCTCTTAAAACACGAGGTCATGCAAGTAACCTATAATATAAGAAAAATAGAAATTGAATTTGACATGTAAAAAGTATAAGTTGAATTTGTAAAATTAACATTCTATTAAAAGGAAACGTACAGGCATTAAGTTCCCATGATCCTCGTCATAAAAATATAAATATTGTGATGATACAGGTGTACCAAATATATATTTAATAAACTGCAATATCATTAATGTATTTGTATCGCCAATTTCAACTAAAATTACACTGCGAAACTTGTGTAAAAAATTAACATCCATGGCTTTAAGCGAAGGTAACGAAATATGAAGAATCTGAAATAGAATATAAATGATAAATTCTTGTTCTTTTGTGCCATGTTTGTCTAATGACTTCTATACAAAATGATAAAATTCTCTTTGATGAAAAATGTGTGGAGTTTATTTGTATCTATCATATAGGCCTACTTTAAAAAGAAATATCTGTTTATATATGAGTAGAATCTATTCATATTTGAATTTAAACAAGTTTACGAGGGACACTAACGAAAATCTAAACAACATGAATATATTCTATTTATATCGTAATTGATATTTTTCTCAATTTGAATTTTCGATATTAAGGGTGACTTGAATTCTAGTCAAACGAGTTTCGTGTTCCAAATTAGTGAAAAACTGTTCTATTAACTCATAGCCTGCCATAAGGGTGCATGCACGCTTTTGTTATAGTGCTTTGTACACGCGAGCAAGCTACTGTTACTCTGCTTCTGGCATGATTGCACGCATTCGTAATAGTAGTTATTGTTTATGCGCATTGGACTGTGCCTAGTGTTTTGCACGCGCTATTGGTAGTACCATCGCGTTAATCTCATTATCTCGTTATAAATTTGGCACTGGGGGATTTGTGGCTTGGCACAATTGGGATTAGCCCTGTGGCATGATAAGAGTTAAAAGAATCCGTTGCAAAACTAGGGAAAAGAGACTTCATCGAATTCTCTCGACATAGCCTTCCTACTCGTAAAAGCTTCAAATCATTCAATTTTGTACTCGTCCTCTCAATTTCCAGTTCATCCAGAGTTTCATCAACGAAACCCTATTCGAGCGAACGGGCGTCGAACCCAGTGAAAACAGTCTAACGTGGCTTTGGGCAGCAACGGTTTCTATATATTGTGTCGGAGGAGGTTTAGGGGCTCTCTCTGGCGGCTACTGGGCCGAGAAATTTGGCAGGTGTGTTGGTGTTAGTTTTGCTCGTACAGTGAAAAGTTGTAGTTAGTACATGACCTCTCAGCAAAGAGCAATCGTAAGCCCCCTCAAACAAACGACTAATACTCTTGTGAAAGGAAATTGATTGTACATAACTCCGAATGAATCAAACTTTGATGAAATTGTTGTTTTTATCCTCTTTAACATTACTATGACATGTCACTCTGCTTTAATGTCAAAGAACTGATTAAGTTTATACGTTATTGATGAGCAACAGAAGGTAATTTTTTGTTTTTCGAATCATTTTGTATATAGGAACTTTGAATAAATTAGTGGTTTGGTATTATCATGCTAATATAAAAGCATTCTTCCTAGCACGTATTTTATGATTAGCACTTAGGAAAACCAGTGCCAATCGCAAATTCATTTGTTCATTTTTGATACTCTGCTGATATTCCAGTGAATTGATTTGCGTATCCAGAGATAAGTGTTATCCACCTGGAACACTGCCCGATGATTTCACCATTATATCCTAGCCAAATTCCCTAATGTTATTTAACAATGTATAAGCTTTGTCTCAGGAATGACAAATATTCAACGTATAAAGAAAAATTAGACCATTTCCACAGCCAACGTGTCAATAATGGTTATGCCTATTTTATATTTCCATTTGTTATGTGTTGTGTGATATACATGCCTATAGCCATACTTCTGTTTGGCATTTTTATAGTTTTCAGTATGGACATGCAAGGCCTGTTTTTCATTTTTGTTTTGGTTGTCGAGTGGGTATGCTATAAATAAATACTCTCGAATAAAATTTTTTTTTTTTAAAGCAACCTGAAATAAAAAGCGGAATATGAATTTGTAATAATATAAATATTAGGAAATCCCCCTACAACCCCCTTCTCCCACATACAAATTGCAGCTAAACGCCAGTTATATTTCTCTATTGTTGATATATTCAATGAAGTAGAACAAAAATACATACTTGGTAGATGAATAATATTTATAACGATAACAATCATCATGATTTCAATTAATATAGATGGCTATAGTCAAAAAATAAAAATGAAAACAAGATATTAGTTTGATTATTAGTAATTTCGGGTTTAAAAAGCTGTCATCAGGGAGAATTTAGGAAGTGATAAAATTGACAGGCCTAATTTATTACATTTTTTATATGTTGATTAAAAAAACCGAAACAAAACAAAAGAAACAAATCAACTAGAAAAGAGCACATACTCCAAGCAATACTGCAATGTATTTGGTAAAACCCTTGACAGATTTTTAAAAAATTTCCTCCTTTCTTAATCCCAGAAACCGCGGTCTTTTGTATAATAATTTCATCTCTATTGTGGCGGCCCTTTTGATGGGATGTTGTTACTCTGCCAAGTCACCGGAGATGCTCATTGCTGGCCGTTTCGTCATTGGCTTCAGCGTGGGTAAGACTCTTCGAAAGAAATTTAAAAATACCTCAAAGAAATTGCTGATGGACATTGTAACAGCCGCCAGTTTTCGGGGGAGGGGCACAAATTTAGTACTTGAATATTGAAGCAAGAGAGACACGTTAACACAGAGAGATAAATAAAGAAATTGACGGAATGTTTTTATAGTTGTTATAAAATATTTTCAGAGAAGATGAACTAATAGTAAATGAACAATTAAAGTATTTAAAGCATCTTGATGTAAAACAAACTGCACGATAATCAAATTTGTCGGTATGGAGGAAATTAGTGAAAATGTATTCAAAAGGTAACTGTGATCAAGTAAACAAAGTAAGAAAGAGATTTCTTAGAAGAAAGAGGTCAAAGGTACTCATCAGCTTTTTCTTTTATCGTGACAGGTATATCAATAACCATCGTACCCGTGTATCTGACTGAGATCTCGCCTTTTAACTTGAGGGGCGCCATCACCGTCACACATCAACTACTCGTCACGATTGGAATTCTTATTGGGCAGGTGATTATACAACGTCATGGCCAGAGAAAGGAAAGAAGAAGAAAAAAGTGATAAAAAGGAAAATAAGATAAAGAGGAAAGAAATAAAGAAACCGATAACCAATGGTAGTGCATTTGACATATTTTCAGTCGGAGTATTGAAGCGGAACCAGACAACTCGTTACTCTTCCTGTTTCCAGATGTATTCCTTTACATCTTTGTATAGATGGTCGCTTCTTATTGTTCTGACATTTCAGATGTACAGTCTATAAGCACCAACTGCTTCTAAACAGAATTTAGAAAATCTGTGGTAGGTCTCGATTCCGTCATGGACTATGCCGAATATACCCGGGAATTTGGCTGGACGCCAATGATACATGATTCAATTGTCGTGTTTGTCATCTTTTGATTTTACCTGCTGGTAAATCACACCTGTCTAATGGGTTGTCCTTGGGATGTATGATATCCATGTATTTTTTCCTCTCAAGTGTTGCCATTGTAACAAAAATATATGTATCACTCAATATCACTCAATCCCAATGTACTTTTGTATTCAGTGTTTAGGATTCTTCGCCTTCTACAACCCTTCGACATGGTCTGTGGTACTGGGCCTAACAGGGGTAACAACTATCATTGAGTTCGTAATGCTGCCTTTCTGCCCCGAGAGTCCAAGATGGTTGCTCATCAGAAAAAACGACGAGGAAAAGGCTTTAAAAGGTAGAAAAGTCTCGAATTCTACTGGTAGCAAAGTTGAGAAATCTGAAACCACAACACCTCAAATTTATCCCAGTTTCTGTTCCGAGAAAGACAGCCTCTTCTTTTCTCTTCCATTATTCATTTTCTTGTTTTGTAGATGATGATATCGCCTATTGACGATTGTTCAAATTAAAGATAAACTTGAGTTTTGGTAAGAAAAGAAAATAAATTCTCACAAAATCAAACAAATAAATGTCACTTGCCAAACAATTTTGGTGGGAAATGTATACTGGCTGAGTAATGAGCATAGAAAGATAAGGAAATCAAGGTAAGTAGGCCCGACACCATTTTTGGAGCCACATATACATCTTTCTGGGTTCAGTGCTTGTTATATTACCAAGACTGGGCCAAATTTATTATGATTTTGATGACTCCGGAACCTTGCAGTACATACCAATACTTACATGCTACATGATCAACTTTTTTGATCCATTTCGCACCTTGTTTTTCACAATTCAACCGCGTGACCAGAACTCAACTTTATCTTTAAATTGAAAACAGTTGCTGTATTTTTAAAGCTAATATTCTATTTCACATGAGCAGGCTAATTATATTATGTCGCAGTGCTCATGATATGACTCTAGGGTATAACATTATAGGTCATGTATTTTCTTCACTGTATGAATTAATACAATTTGGACACAATGTAATTTTAAAGGTTTGTATCTATTGATAACTACAAAAAAGGCATTGAGTCATATTAAATGTGATAAAGACCCAACATTTCCGGACAAGATTCTGATAAAAGCGACGTCGTTTTGAAATCGATTTTTATCTAATGTTGAGCTCCATTTTCCTTTCTTAAGCTGCACGGCAGGGACAACTTATCAAATCAGTAATTCCCGCAGCACAAACGATTTAATTGAAACTGTATTATTCTCTTCGGTAATCAGGCATATGAATGCAGATTATTTGTCAGCTCCGCGACAGGAGCAAATAATGATATCAGCCAAACCCCGTGAACTAGTGGTGTCATTTCGACTGCGTTATTCTCTGCGTTAATCGGGCTTGTCTAGCCAAATTATCGCAGCATGAGAACAAGACAATCTCCTTCTAGAATACCTTCTTGACTTATGTTCAGAGCATTTTTTTCCTTAATCGCTTAGCACTTCGACAGCTCCGCGGGAGGGACAACGTCGGGGACGAGATTGAGGAGATGAGAAGAGAGCATCAGAACGAAAGCAACGTCGAGCGCATCGGCGTGTTCGATCTCCTATGCCTTCGTGATCGCTCATGGTTGCTCCCTCTCATCATCTGCATTGTCATACACACCGGTCAACAACTCTGTGGAATCAATGCTGTAAGTTTGTTAGTCTAGTTCTGGACCCTTTTAATGATTTTTTTTATTCGCCGATTATAAGCGTTGAGCCGAGTGATGGCGCGATCCCTAGTGACGGCGCCATCACTCGGCTCAACGCTTATAGTCGGCGAATAAAAAAAAATTAAAAGGGGGTCCAGAACTAGACTATAAGTTTGTCAAAGGCGTCGCTGTAGAGACAGGGTGGGGGGGGGGGGGGAGGGGGTGATGAAGACACTCGATTAAAAAAGACATAACATCTGAGAATTTGGTCGGGAAATCTCGTCCAATATCCACCTCCAAATTCAAAGCACAAGAAATTGAGCCTATTTCCTTCTTAATATATTTCTTAAAAGAGTTCCATTAAAGAAATATGGTCATAGGCATCTTTGTGGAGAAAGGGTGGGGGAGGGGGTGGTTAAGACACTCCATTGAAATATAGATAAAATCTGTAAATTTGGTTCGCGAAATCTCGTCCGATATTCACCTCCAAATTCAAAGTGCAAGAAGTTGAACCCATTTTTCTATTTATTTGCCCTGCACGATTTGTCTTGTGTAGCAACTTTGTATATCTCCTTTTTTGGGGGGGGGGGGGGTCGTGTTTCTGTCCCTCTACAGTGCCACATTTTGTTGGATGAAAAGCTGTTAACCTCTACTATCGGGAACATATTCACGATTGGAATTCACTCGGAGATAACATTACCAATTTGAATGCGGTGCTAAATTTCAATTAATGTTAACGTACATCTCTATCACCCTTTCTCGCAGATTATCTTCTACTCTACTGAGCTTTACGAGGCAGCCGGGATGTCCCACAACGAGGTTGCTTATGCCACGGTAGGCTTCGGGGCACTCAATGTCTGTGTTACTGTCATCTCCGTGTTGGTTGTCGAGCGAGCTGGACGACGACCCCTTCTACTCTACCCTTTCGGCATTATTGCCTTGTGGCTTATCGGTCTCACCATCTCTCTCGCTCTTCAGGTAAGAACGTCTTGAAACCAGTAGAAAATTACATGTTTCAGTATGCTTTTACTTGCGTGCTGCAAGCTTGAGTTCTGAAAAAGGCTTGCAGCATGCAAGTGAAAGCTTACCGAAAACAAAGTAAACTTCTACTCATTGTGAAGACCGAATTATTTTTCAAGCAACATCATCAATCAGATAAACCTCTGTTTTAATGGTTTAATGAGATCACCGGGTCCATTAAAATTAAAAAAATGTCCAACCCTTTAATCTGTCCCAATCATTCAAGGCATTTAACAAACCGATCAACCAATCAATTGTGTATTATATTTGACAGTCCATCATGCTCCGGCAACAATTTGTTACGCAGTCAATATCCTAGTCTTGCCGAAGTCTGCACTTTAACACCGGACTATGCGTCCGAGAAAAACGAAACCAAGAATTATCGATTTTTTTAATCATAATTTAATAACAATAATAATTTTTAAATGACCCATATTCGTAAAGCTTAGATCCCCTTTTTTCATTTGATGCAACTCATATGATGCATATTTCACGCATGTGTGATTAAAATCAATTTGAAGAAAGGGTGCCAGAAATTTGGCGGACGGTATCTGAATTTCAAAGAGAAAATCCCATTTTCTAGAAAGTTTATTTTTTGCCCTTTCATATGACACCTTAATCAGGAGAAATGAGCTATGAAGTTTTTTTTAAAGTAGTGCTTGCATTTTCATAATTTGGATAAACGAATTCGTATTCACGAGATGCCTGCCGTAGCAACATACAGAGTTGACAAAAGACTTAACTCCGTTTCGTTGACAATCAGCCATGCATGAAGTTGTTCGTCTATTTTTCGTAACGTAACCGCTTAAAGGTATTATGTACCATTTGCAGCCAATATCAATTTCTGTAGAACTTTGCAGGAGTTATGAATATGTCACTTACCCTATCCAGAGAGTTGTAATGGATGGAGATCCCGTCCAAGAAGCCCCTTAGAAGTTATCCGTGGCACCGTGTGTCTTTTGTTTCCCCTACCGTAATCCCCTTAATCCCCCCTCCGAGACCACACAGCTCCCTGGTAGTACTAAGCCCTCCCTTTCCACCCATAGCTCAGCCCAGCGAGCAATGCGGTTTATGGGTTAACAGCCCGTACTTGGGGTGAAAAGGGGTAATGAATTGACAACTTCTAACCCTCATCCAATAAACGCGCCAACATATAACACAATTTAATTTAGGTCATTTGGGAGATAAACCTTTGGACTACCTTCCTAGCTATGTACACATTTGATGAAAACCTTACATTCGCTCTAACTCACGATTTCCTTGGTCGATTTCGCTGGTTCAAATGGCTATGTCTTCATTAGAGCTATCCAAGTATGACAAAAGTATTTGATAGCCAATAGAAAGTTGCATTGGTCATAATGCTGTGAATTCTCTTCACTGAACATGACCTATTTTTCGTGTCGGTTATAATACGCTTAACCAGTCGGCCCGTGCATTGTTAGTATTAATAAATTAATCAATTAACGGTCACGGTATTTTTTTTTTAGGTGGAGCTGAATTTAGTCTGAAATTACCTTCATATATAGCAATTTTAGGTCCTAAAAGGGCACTAGAAATATCATAAAAAAGAATAAGAGCAATGACAATGCACTGTGAAGGCATTTGCGGTCTGAAACAAGAACTCAACTATCCCTTTAAGTGCCTCGATACGAATAATTGTATTTCAATAACTAGAATGCAAATTGCTTAACAAATTATGTGCTGCTAGGTAGGGCAAGCCATAATGTTTTACCTACCTAGCAACTATCAATGTATGCAATTTGAATCCTGTCTATTGAGTTACATTTATTAAAAACGGATGAATGACACAAATAGTATCGAGGCGCTTCACACAGGCATATGCATATATTTGGTTAAATTGCGAAAATTGCCTTTTATGAATCACCACTGGCCTGCCGATTAACAATCAGAAAGTTATGTTAACTATATATTATTCTTTCTAAGTTAAACTAATCAGCTAGTCCACCTCTCATTGTACATGTATTTGCAACCAGGCGCAGCATGACTGGCTAAAGTGGGTAAGCTTGGTCTTCGTCTACCTGTACATCATCTTCTTTGCCATCGGCCCGCCCCTCTGCCTTACCTAGTATCAGCTGAACTCTGGTCTCAAGGGCCACGCCCTTCTGCTGTCAGTGTCTCGATTCAGGTGAACTGGTGGACCAACTTCATCGTCCAGCTTACTTTCCCTCCAATACAGGTAGGTGAGACTTACGTATTGGTGGTGGATATTATTATGATGATGATGATAATGATGATGATGGTGAGGATGATGATGATGATGATGATGATGATGATGATGATGATGATGATGATGATAATGATGATGATGATGATGATGATGATGATTAGAGAGGATGATGATGATGATGATGATGATGATGATGATGATGATGATGATGATGATAATGATGATGATGATGATGATGATGATTAGAGATGATGATGGTGATGATGACGAAGTTATACATAATAATAATATAGCGAACTTTGAGGGGGAAAAGAAATAGTAATACCAACAATTGTATAGATAATTATGATGATGATTCAGGTGGTGATGACGATAATGATGATTAAGAAATGGTGCCAATGATTATGATAATGAGGAAGATAACATTAAGATGACAATGGAAATGGTGATGATAACGATGATAATAAGGATAGCGGAAATGTGTCGTTCATTCTAATAATGATGATACTATCACAATATTGATATAAAATTATAAAATCTATTTACAGGGAGCCATAGGTGAGTATATCTTCCTCATCTACACAGTCTGCGCGATCGCTACAACTATCTTCATCTACTTCTACGTGCCTGAGACCAAGAACCGAAGCTTTGACGAGATCGCGTCGTCCTTCCGCAAAAATCGGGACGGCAATGGCAATATGGGGTTGGAGAACCGTCAGTAGTGAGTTTTTGAGAATCATCTTCAGCACACTGATAATAAATCACCAACCAACAAAATAAATGAATGCCGATAGCTTGTTGTGAATATACATATAGAAATATTTTGTTTAATAATCATGATAATGATGATGATATACCTTGTATCGTCATATGCTTTTAACAATCACTTGTACAATAAAAATGTATATTGTGTAGAGGTAGCTAGAAATCGACGTTTTATAACTTGATTACGGTGAGTGTGTATGAGTGTCTGTGAAAATAACCGAGTCTTCCTCCGGGAGGCGGACTATTAAAGCCAAAGTTAATGTTGCAGTTTGGACCGGTCTGTTGTTGCCTATAGAGTCAGTTTTTAAGAGTTTAGGAATCGAAGAGTTTACCTCTCGAAGAGTGTATACGTGTGGCGAAGCAAGGGGGGATCCAGCCGGCGGCGAGGATGGCCTTGGGGCTCAAGAGGGGGCCTTATTCGTTAGAAAATATTTAGAGGGGACTCAGCCGGCCGGCCGAATAAGGGAGGGGGGGGGGGGGGTCGGAGCTCTTTTTTATTTTCTCAACAACCCCCCCCCCCCCCCCCCCTTTGAGCAAAAAATAAAGATTAAAATAATTTACAAACAAATTCCGGGAGGGGGGGCGGTCTTCTTCACTTTAGAGGTGAAATTAACGTCACCATCTTTTTTTTTCAACATATTTTTTTTTACCAGGGGGGGGGGGGGGGGGGGGACCGGCTCCTGCCATCCTGGCTCCTTCCCTATGGCGGAGAATCTGTCCCTTCGTGGTTTTGGTTCTGTCACAAAATACACCGGATGAATTTTGGTAATTTATTGGTCTGTTAAAATGACTAATATAATTTCCCTTCAAGTTTTTTTGCTTGTCGCTGTAATCATTATCAACGTTAATATCATTATCAGTATTTGCAAATTTCATTTAGCAATGAATGGTTTTTCGGTTGATTTGCACTGAAAGAAATAATGTTGTACACTTTGTTGTTTTAATAGTAAAACCCGTCTTTTATGAATATAACTGATATCAAACGTTTATAAAGCCAGGGTGTATTTTAGAAGTTAGATAGGCAAGATTCCACAGACCTTTAAAAAACAGCCTTGAGGGGGTATTTCACTGAGCGGCGAAAGTAGCGAATTCGGGGATTCGCCAGGATTCGTAAAAGGTTGCAAAAGGTTGCAAGAAAGTTCGCAAACAGTTTTCAATGTCGCACACGGTTTTTTGTCGTAAAGAAATTTTGAAAATGTGCATAATTTCTTTTTTGCAAAACTGTCTTAAGCCTTTGCAAACGGTTATAATACGGTGTCGCTGTTTGTTATTGATAATTATCTTTTGTTCGCCAATGCTGGCGACTACTTTACCATATGTTTTTTTTTAATTGACCCATTGGGTACCAGGAGTTAGCAAAAGGTCTCCAACGTTCACAAATAGTGGCAAAGGATTGGCGAATAGTTGCTAATCTTCGCAAAAACTGTCGCTAACATTTGCTTACAGTCGCTAATAGTCGCCAACTGCCTTTCGCCAACTGCCTTTCGCAAACGCTTTCGGAAACATTCGCTCAAATGTTGTTAATTGTCGCTAAACGTCACTAAAAGTCGCTGATTTTTAGCAACATTCGTCAGAAAAGTTGACGAATCCATATTCACAACGTTCGTAAGCATTTGCCGCTCAGTGAGATACACCCTTAAGGCAATTGTAGTAGCCATATGTGTCACCTACTACGAACATTACAATATCAAATTACATAATCCGAATATTTTGTATTTTAGGCAATACCATAGGGTATTGACATTGACCTTGAATACATTTGCTGGAAGTCTTTGCGATTGTGATTATTTTTAAAAGAAAAGGAAATAAAACAAATAACAAGAAGAGAATATGGCAGAAAATATTATACGTTTGGGGGAGGGACTATTTATGAGTCACCATAACATAGAGACAGTAATAGATGGTTAAAAGGGCTTCCAAAAACTTATATAATTTTAATAGCCTTCTCAATTCCCTATTGATGTAATCAAACATTTAATACCAAAACGAAATCCAAATAATTTTTTCTTGGTTTTGGTAAGAATTACAAGAAGGTATTGAAATTGCCCCTGTCCTGATTTCTCTAAATCCTTTGTGATCCTGTTTTTAAAGGCATCATCCGTCGTGCGTAAATGTTCCACAGCGTACCTTGTCAATATATCATTTGTGTGTTCTTCCTATGCTATTTCAGTTTAAATAATATTTCTTGATAATTTGTTTGCGTTTTGCTTGTGTACTTGTCATACTTTCACTTGAAGTTTTGAATAAAGCTATGAATCTACGATTTGCCTGCATTATTATTAGTAAGAGTGTAATAAATATATTGCTTCATTTGTGAAGCTTTTGAGCTGTTAACCCAGAGTATCTGCGGTTTCACCCTCCAATTCGATGACTTTTAAGAGAGAGAGAGAGAGGAGAGAGACCTGTTTTTTTTTTTTTTTTTTTTTTTTTTTTGGGGGGGGGGGGTTAATGAGTAGCTCAGCGAACCTGAGAGAAAGAGTAAGAGAGAGATGGGGGGGAGAGAGTGTGTGAGAGAGAGAGAGAGAGAGACAGACAGACAGACAGACAGAGAAAGAGAGAGAGAGAGAGAGAGAGAGAGAGTTAGGGAGAGAGAGAGAAAGAGAGATGGGGGGTGGGGGAGTGGCAGACAGTCAAGGTGAGACAAAGATCGTGAAAGAAAGTGAGAGATAAAGACATGTGGATGATGTAAATACTTGACATTTATCATTACAGCTGTCATTTCGATTGACGTCTTCTTTCACATTCGTCTTTTTAATAGTATTCTGCAAAGTAAAAGGAATTGACAATGTAACTTTAAAATCAAAGCCCATGTTTTTAGTGATCATTTTGAGACTTGAATCTAATTGTGATAAAGTATTCGAACCGATAATAAGCGTGGTAAGAAACCATCTAACAACACACCTGAAAACGCACATACTCCCTTACACGCCCACAACCCTCGCCCACACTCGTACGTCCGCACATTATGAAAGACTCAAGGAGGTATTTTTAAGCTTCACTTTTATTCTTTACATGCGTGCAAACAAGAAAATGACGAGATATACTAAATGCACTATAATTACGCATTGTAACTCCACGTATCATTTTTATATTGTACTTCACAAACAAGTTGTTGAAATCATTTGTTTATTTTGAGGGAAGTACAGCAATAAACGAATTTTTATGATAGCAATTACAATAATAATAATGATCCTATTTGGGTTCAAGGCAGGGTTGTGCATTGAATCATAGACCACAAAAAGCCAGGAACACTAATGATAGTGATAGTGATAGTGGTGGTTATCTTACCTGACAGTTAAGAAAGCAATAAATGCTTGTAAGTAAGCAACCAGAAGACCGACGGCTTAAGGTCCTCTCCGAGGGACCTGGTAATGAGGATTAATGCCTTACCAAAGGGCACTAGTGCATCGACTTGGTTTCGAACCCGGGTCACCGGATAACGTAGTCTAGTTCTGGACCCTATATTGATTTGACCCCCACTAACCGCGCTCTTCTAGCGCGGTTAGTGGAGGTCTCGCGATCAGTAAGGATCGCGCCATCACTCGGCTTAACGTTTGTAGTCGGCGAATAGCACAAATCAATATAGGGTCCAGAACTAGATTTCGGATAACGAGACCACTGCTCTACCGACTGAGCTATCGCGCCTCCTCTACAGCGTATCTTTAGGAGAAAACCTATCGACATTTATATTAAAGGTAATACAAAGTGTTGGTATGGGGTCATGAATGTGGTTCAAATGAACATATTGGAAGCATATATGATCCTACAATATTCAGTGATCGTTATCGCGGTCGAAATCGACTCTTAAGTTATGAAATTGTAAATAATAAACACTTTATGTTGAATAGCTGCCTCTCAAGGTCAAGATATTAATTAAGCTATAAAACGATATTTATTGACTAAAATCGACCGATTAGCTATTCCTGTTCGGAAATAATATACCACAACTACATAGTCTGAGATTTTCATGGTCGCAGCTAACATTGTACGGCCGTAGGAGCTATTTGAAATTTATCAAAATTTACCGGGAGCACCGGTAAATCTTTATATTCAATTTTACTCGAAAGCAAAAGTGTTTTAGGGTCTAAACTTTCTGGTGTTTTTAATATATCCACAGGTGCATCCAAATTATCAAAATTGTAAAGAATCACTTTCCACCCATTTTTCAAAATTTCCGACCGATTAGCTATTCCTGTTTGGAAATTATATACCACAACTACATAGTCTGAGATTTTCATGGTCGCAGCTAACATTGTACGGCCGTAGGAGCTATTTGAAATTTTATCAAAATTTACCGGGAGCACCGGTAAATCTTTATATTCAATTTTACTCGAAAGCAAAAGTGTTTTAGGGTCTAAACTTTCTGGTGTTTTTAATATATCCACAGGTGCATCCAAATTATCAAAATTGTAAAGAATCACTTTCCACCCATTTTTCAAAATTTCCGACCGATTAGCTATTCCTGTTTGGAAATTATATACCACAACTACATAGTCTGAGATTTTCATGGTCGCAGCTAACATTGTACGGCCGTAGGAGCTATTTGAAATTTTATCAAAATTTACCGGGAGCACCGGTAAATCTTTATATTCAATTTTACTCGAAAGCAAAAGTGTTTTAGGGTCTAAACTTTCTGGTGTTTTTAATATATCCACAGGTGCATCCAAATTATCAAAATTGTAAAGAATCACTTTCCACCCATTTTTCAAAATTTCCGACCGATTAGCTATTCCTGTTTGGAAATTATATACCACAACTACATAGTCTGAGATTTTCATGGTCGCAGCTAACATTGTACGGCCGTAGGAGCTATTTGAAATTTTATAAAAATTTACCGGGAGCACCGGTAAATCTTTATATTCAATTTTACTCGAAAGCAGAAGTGTTTTAGGGTCTAAACTTTCTGGTGTTTTTAATATATCCACAGGTGCATCCAAATTATCAAAATTGTAAAGAATCACTCTCCACCCATTTTTCAAAATTTCCCAAAACTTTGTAATACCTTTAAGAACTTATAACATAAAAATGTATAAGATAATTCATGAGAAGTGAGTTAAAGATTTTACTAATATAATCTATCAGTAGTGTTGGTGGGTAATGCTGATTAACTAACTTACTGCATTAACTTAAATCTCATCTGATATTAAACAAACAAAACACAAAACTTGAAATTCATTATTACACCTCATCTGCGATGCAATACTAATCATATGAGATTTGAGAATCAAATTAAGTCCTGGCCACACGGATACAAATAGTGTAATTACGCGATGCACTAGAATAATTATATACACACTCTCAGTATTTACATGCAAAATGAACCTTAAACACACCGTGTATAATATTTCTTGAAAAACAGTTAAATCAGATAAAAGGAAATGCACAAATATATACACTAGTCTATTAGATGTTAGGCAAAATACACCCATATTGGGTCCAAAGGAAACATGCATGTTTGTTGT